TTAACACCAACATTGCTCAAGAAAGTCAAACATCCCCGGAGCTTGAGCTTGTTTCAAACTCAATGTATGAGGAGACGTTATTTCGTCGTATTTGATTCGCTGGAATGTTCAATTGAATGGTGACAGACTCTGGATTGGATATGGAGAAGAAAAAGGTGGTGTGGTCTTCGTACATAAACTACTGTGATTGACGCCAGCGCTCGGGATCTCCGACTAGTAGCATATGACATTGACAAGGCCCGATATATGGGACGAGAGAGAGGCGGAGACTCGGGCAAACATATCAACAAATTTGAAAGCAAGTTGTGACCATTGGAGCTGCCGGGTGACGCAACTAACATAGGCTGAAGAGCGGCCCAATATGAAATACCTTGAAATTCGTTCCCACTCTGCGTGAATTCGTACCCTCATGGTAGGATGTGTAGAAAGAGGCGAGATGTTGCATGGCCGTTTTGGGTTACACACAACATCAGATCGCCACATATACTCCTGATATGCAACAAGACTTCTTTCCTGTTTGAGGAACAATATAATGATGACTTCAGTCCTATGGATCTTCCTGTTTTATGCGCAAGGTAGTAGTGGTAGTTTGAGATGAATTGACATGTACAGTGATCCCTCTCCATAAGCCGAGAGCCTGCAATCAATATGAAAACATCTCCTCTTCTTCTTTTTACTTCTACCAGTTATTCAGTTCAATGGTTAGCTGGGAGTCTCCTGCCTTCGACGGACTTATAGACTGGGGGTATGGTTCCCCGTGCCGATAGCGAACGCGTCTGGAGTTCATCTAGCTGAGTCTTAAGTCGTCCGCTCCGCAAGTTGAACTCTAGAATGAATAAAGATATGCGTAGCTAACGGGTCTAAGTTCCCGAGTGATAAAGTGACGGTCACTAACCGCATAGGAATGATATATATTAGAAGCCGCTGTGGGACTCCTTGCGGGCCCCGATCGAAGACGTGAAATATATCGCCCAGGCTACGTGAAACGTTCTTTCTAGGAACTTCGTTTGGTAGTTTAGATATGCCGTCATCTCATTCATCTCATCATCGCCTACGTCCCGTGAATGGTTCATGGGGATCGTTGAGGGCAATCTTTCTCATCACGGGTCGTGTTGCTTTTTTATCTGTCTGGAAGTTCGCTGCCACCGTTCTGGGAGGAGATATGAGCCTGCATAAAATCGGTTGCCATTGCCCAGGGAAGCGGCAGAAGGCACCGTGTCCTTTATCGAGAACAACCGTAATTCCGGAAAAGATATGAGCAACGGCCATTTCGAGAACATTGAGCGTTGGTTATACCATGATAAACAGAGACTCAAAAGACAAAAGAGTTCACCCCCCCGGTGGCGAACGGGGGCTACATCTCTGGCGCACATGCTGGGAATTTTTTGTCGACTCGAACACGGGACCTCTAAGCCTTCACCGATTAGGCTGTTCGTGGACTTCAACCACTCCACCACTCAGCCAGTTTTGACCTGACCCCCGAGGGGGCGCCCGCTGGCTGGTGACGGGAATGGACTTGAGGGGGGGTATAAAGGGTTTTCGCGGAAGGTATGGGAAGGTATGGGAAGGTATGGGAAGGTATGTGAAGAAACGGCCTAGCCAGCACCTGCCTTACAGTCGCATGGATGTCATTGGGGCACTTCATGACATTCACGACAGATCCTGTGGAAGGAGGCAGAGATATTTCATTGTGGATATTCCGTGGGAGACATACATTCCATTTTGCTCAGGCAGTGTTGATGTATTAAGCTATCAATGTCCGCCATCGGGATGGTGATGATGGAATCTATACCTCAACGCCGCCTAATGCACAATCTAGATGCACCCATCTTTCCTTCCCTTCGTCAATCGCCGTATCCTGCCACCCCCGTCTCAGATCACTGCGTCTTCGGCTTTCTAAGCGGAGCAGTGACGGAGAAGGAGACTATGCTATACTCAGTCTTCTCGGCATCCCGCTTCTCAATAGCCTTCTTCTCCTCCGCAGTCTTCTCTTCCTCGTCCTTCTTCTTCTTCTTCTCGTCCTCGTCGTTCTTCAGCTCCTTCACGACATTGCCGTCACCATCAAGCTCGACGACAACGTCGCGGGTGTCGAGGCTCCCGTCCTCGGTGTACATCCACATCTCCTTGAGCTCGCCACGGACGAGACCAGTCAACCAGAGGGAGCTGAGAACGCCAGGGACGAGGTACAGCAGCGCAGGCTGGCCGTGCTTGAAGACGACCAACATGACTAGTGTAGTCACCATGCCGATAGCGTAGCCAACCAGGGAGGCGTAAAAGTAAGTCTTGCTGAAAGTCGATCCGCGCACGGTCGGCGGCGCTGTCTGCTTTGCAGCCTTGAAGAGACCCAGCCACGAAGGGGCGGACCAGAACCAGTCGCCCCAACAGTTGGTGATGTCGAGGTACGGGGCCTTTTGCGCAATGTGCTGGGTTTGGCTCACGGTGACCACGTCGCCGGAGGTCGCGTCGTGCTGGTCGGACTTGAGATCGGTCGGGATATACTTGATCTGGCGCTGGTAGTGAAGCCACATGTCGAAGCGGAGGGCGAGACACATGACAATGCCCGGGACGACAATGTCTCCGAGTCCGAGAATGCTGGACCTAGCGGCGGACTGAAACTGGAGCTTGATGGGCACATCGAGCTTGGTGGCGACGGTGATCATGTAGGGGCTGGTGGAATGTTAGATGATGTGGGTTCAAATATCACTTGCAACTGTGACTGAGATGCAACTTACGTGTAGAAGACCATGATTATGTCGTAGAAGAAGAGTCCGATCAGCACCAAACTTCCCGTCGCAAACGTCGTCGGGGACATCATGAGGAATGAGCCGTAGCAGAATCCGTAGCCCATGAAGTTGGACAGGAATGGCGAGCCAGACATGAAGTAGGCCACGACGGTGGCGATAGCCAGGTTAAGACCAACGACGTGGAGGATAGTCATATGGAACTTCTCGCGAAGGAGGCCGTGCAACTTCGCCTTCACCGTCCACTCATCCGTCAAGACGTGGCGCAAGTCCCATAGAACCCGGTTGGTCTTGATGCTGTTGAGACGCATAATGCTGCGCAAACCAAAAGGCAGCGGGTTGCTCTTCTGGAGAACCTGTGCGTTGTTTTGGTCAACCCCGTCGCCTGTGACCTTGATGAAAGCCTCATCGTCATCGTTGACGTTGTAGAGTGAGCCATCGTGGTGGAAGTAGTTGGGGAAGACGAATCCGGTGGCAACCCGCAGTGAGTGTGCGATCAGAGTCGTCAAACTGGCGACACCCATGACAGACATGTAGACTCGGAGAATCTTGTTGAGGATGGCGGGGTCCTGGAGCCATTGGATGAGGTAGTAGAGGCCGATGAGCATGGTGCCGGCCAGGATCGGGAAGAGAATGGCGTCGGTAGGCATGAGACCCTCCGTTATAGGCTCGTCCTCCTTGCGTTCTTTTCCATCATTGCGCTTCTGAGGAGCGGCAGAAGGTGGGCGGCGGAGTGAGCCGTGGGCGCCAATGTAAATGATGGCTAGGGCGCTGAAGATGAGCTTGGCCTCCATCGTCAAGAAGCTAGCATACTGGGTGAAACCCCATTCCACAGCGGCAGCGGTGACGTTTCCAGCTGTCGAGTTGCCAGTGAGGTTGCCGGTGAGGTTCTGGGCAAGCTCATCAAACGGCGGGTTGATGGGGCTGGGGACCGGTGAAGCCATGTCGTCGCTGTCGCTGTTGGTGTCAGGCTCGCGGTCGTTCCCGGGTGCTAGGATGAAACAATCGGTATAAGGACCGAGAAGACAAGTACAATCGTCCAAGGCAAGTGAAGCTCGTGATAGTTGTCAGGATGAAAGAGGCGGAAGCAGAATGTGAATGAATGAGACGATGGTCGTTGAGAATGGCAAACAGAAAAGCCAGATGCCCGTAATTGATTTATGCCCTCGGAAAGGACCACTGGCGTTTAAATTCTGGATAAACGTTAGAAGAAATACTAACCTCGCCAAGAGTATTCTGCTTCTTACCAATTAGTGAATGCAGAAGTTGAAGCCACCTGTTTTTGGAGATGGGTCGGATGAAAGACGACACGGTGTTTCCTGCCCTGCCTAATAAGAAAAAAGTGAGAAGTCAATTCTGTAAACCGGTCTCCGCCCTGGCCAGATTTTGCTTCGAGTGACGGGATAGGCAGGCAAGTGGGAAGTGTCCTTGGTTGAGACGGAAAGGACTCTGGACGTCCTAAGAAAAAATAGATTCGCCGTTTGGTTTATTTTCTTCGAGAGACAAGTCGCACCTTGCCCGTGTCCAAACTCTTGAAAGGCGGTATCGATATCCGTGCGGCGCGAGCGTTGCTGCAGGAGGTTCGCCCTGCGCTGGTCCAGATTGGTACGGTAGGTGGTTTGACAAGTGAGAAGTGAGGTAGGTACCTAAGCTATGCTCAGCTCCAGGGAAGGCATGCGGGGAAGAGAGGCTTCAGCTGCCATGACCCCCACCTCAGCGCTGTAAACCATTGACACCTTAAAGTACCTGCACGAATGTGCAACATTGAATAAACATCTACGAATACACCACAAACACTCAACCCCTTAGATCTATAAGGCAAATATCATTGAATTACAGACATCAGCAGCGTCTGAAGTGTACATGACCTAGTGGAGAAAGTAATAACGCGTAATTGGGGCCTGCAAAGGTTGCGAGTTCGGATTTGGTGGTCCTACATAATGCCACAGACTGCTCATTTTTTATTCGGCTTGAGTACCTACCTCCCCCCAACTGCCTTAGAGACCTCCAGCTTCCAGTGGCGCACCTTCACCCCAGAAGTGGCTGAAGCTGCCCCCTGGCCAGCCGCCATGGAAAAGCGCAATCCGCAATCGGGCGCGATCCGCGACTGGATCTGACTGACGTGCGACCGCAAAACCTCAATCGCATCGCATCGCCAGCCTCGCCCAAAATAATTATCCGTGAACCCCCTTCACCACCGCCAGCAGCACCACAGTCCACGACAATTCGCGCAGCAAGCACAGCTGTCAATCCCTCAAAATGACTACCAACGTCTCCCTCGAGACCTCAATGGTACGTCCAAACATCCTCTACACCCCATGACGTAGACATCAATCCAACGCGACAACCTCCCAAACCCCCAAGCTAACCACTTCTCCTCCAACAGGGCACAATAATCCTAGAGCTCTACACCGCCCACGCCCCCAAAACCTGCACAAACTTCGCAACCCTCGCAAAGAGAGGCTACTACAACAGCACCGTAATCCATCGCATCATCCCAAACTTCATGATCCAAGCCGGCGACCCGACGGGCACAGGCCGCGGCGGCACCTCAATCTACGGCGAAAAGTTCGCAGACGAGATCCACGCAGGCTTAAAACACACCGGCGCGGGGGTCCTCTCCATGGCAAACGCGGGGCCCGACACGAACGGCTCCCAGTTCTTCATCACCCTTGCCCCGACCCCTTGGCTCGATGGGAAACATACGATCTTTGGACGGGTCAAGAGCGGGTTGAGCGTCGTCAAGAGGATGGGGCTCGTCAAGACGGGGCCCGAGGATCGGCCGCTTGAGGAGGTCAAGATTATCAAGGCTTCTGTCGTTGAAGAGGGCGGCGACGAATAGTCAACGAGGTGGTGGTAAAGGTCTGCCTGCCTAGAGGGGCCGTATTGTCAGCATCTACACGGAGTTTGGCGTTTGGTCGAGCAGACCGTACCTTGGGAAAAAGTTATATCCAATCCATGTCGTCTACATCTTTCACGTGGTCATAAATCAAACGGAGTATGATAAATCACAAACTTCAAACTCAACGGGGGGAATCAATATCATTTGTCACAATGCCTATAAAATGTAGCCGCAATATCTAAACGCCGCCATCCGCCTCGCCAGGCGATGCACACGAGTATGGAGGGAGGAAACCTCCTCATCCCTAGAAGACCTTCCCCGACTGACTCCCTGACCATGCATTGTTGAGTATCGTGTATCGAATGTCGATCTTCTCGTCGACCAGGGCTTCAGATTTTTTGATGAGTACAGAAAGAAAACAAGAAAACGGCCAGGAACCTGGCTCTGCGGCCAGTCCCACGACCCTACTCTTTTGTTGTAGAATGCGGGCCAAAGAACTAACGTATGCCCCATCCCGGCTGATATTTGACGCCGGCTCGGGACACTGAAGGAGAAAAAATGTGGTAATGGATACAAAGGAGCGATATTAAGAGCGACGCCGTTTGTTGGCCTGTTTCTCATGCTCATCCGAGGCTCTCTTTTTACCTCGGGCTGGCGGCTGGGCCTGAACGGTAGAATGACTTTTGGCGGGCTTTTTGCCTTCAGTTGGAGGCGTTCGACTTCCAGTGGTCTTGGACTGCGAAAGCCCTCCCATGGATCGAACCGTGTCTTGAGAAGATCCTGGCGAGTTCGGTTTTGCGGCAGACCGACCAGAAGAGTTGCTTTGAGCGGAAGGTGTGCTAGAGACAGACGCCAGTCGCTGTCGAGTTGGCTGCGGCTGCGGCTTCGACTGTGGAGATGAGCGTTTGACTGACGAAGGCGCCGATGTGCGCTTCATAGCCAACAACTCGCTTGGTCTCCTAAGACCACAGCCGGCCGTCCTTTTGACGCTGGTTTTTGAGCTGGTCTTTGTGCTGCTCGTTGCGCTGGTCGTTTTGCCGCCCGTTGTGCCGCTCGTCGTGCTGCCAGGCTTCTAGTGTGGCGGCGACGACAATGTGCCAGACGATTCTGATTCTGCGTCTTCGTCCTTCTCTTTTCCGTTCCGGCCATTCTTGGATAACGGCGAGGACAAGGGCGGCTTGGCGGCACCGAGCTTCAGTTTCTTGGCCGGACTAATGCCCTTGGCCTCCTTCTTTTCCTTCTTTGGCGCAACTTCAACGGTGGAGTTGTCGCCGTCGTCTGCCTTTGCCTCACGACTCAAAAGTGAGTTCGTCTTCACCTTTTCCTTCTTAGGACCTTTTGTTTTGAGTATGACCTTTTTTGTCATCAAGGGTGTCGACTTCAACTTCTTCTTCTTATGGCTGTCTCCCGATTCGTCCTCGTCTTCAGGTGCCGCCACCTCCTCGCTATCGCGCTTCTTAGGGCTCGAGGCCCGCGATGCAGGCGCCGGTGTTGCCTTTTGGCTTGATGGGGGTGTTCCGTCGTGCTGGCTAGCGCCATTGCTGCCATTTGAGATCTTTGCCGCCGCAGCGCGACTGGCATTGCGTCCGCTATTTCCAATGCAAGAGCCCATGTGGTTGTTGAGACGGGTGACAAGAATGCATCGTTTGCACTTGCTGCAGGTGGCGGAGGGAAATGAAAGCACGTTGGCTGGTCGCGCTTCTCCAGGACCGGCTGACTCGATATTCGGATCGGGCTTCATATCCTTCTTCTTCTTACCACGGCCGGGACCAGGCTGAACCCAGGTCTGCCCGTAAATGTCGTAGCCGGGCTTGTCAATGTAGGGGTGCTTCTTGCAGTAGATGACGCTTGGATCGGGCTTTCGCGCGCCTTTGCCATCGGTCGGATAGAGCAGGCGAGGCAGGTGGCATCTGGGGCACAGGATCTCGGATGTGGTCTTGAGGGGGTTGCCCTTGAGCAGAACCTTGCCGTCTTCGTATATCGCAGCGTCGGTCTCTATTCGCACGTCTGGCTTCGAGTCGGGGGTAGAGCTCTCTGATGCATCGGAAGCCAGCTTCTCGACACGAATGGCAGCGGTAGACGCTCTCGCCATTTTCTCGTCGCGGTGGACTTTGAGTAGCAGGTCATGTACAATGTTGTACATGAGATCGTCGAGGACAGCGTGTGCCTGTTGCCCAATAACAGACCATGGTCAGCATGGTTTCAAGTCATCAGCCATGGCGAACAGTCGCCCAGCCCAGCCGCAGCGATTCGTAGAATCAAATGGCCGCGATGATTTGAGTGAGACCGGGGAAGGAAGGGGAGGGCAGGGGATGGAAGAAGACTTACAAGCTTGTCCATATTGCCAGCGTCGTCGGGAGCGACAATCACTCCAGCCTTTCCTGTATTGGAAGCCATCTCGGCGAGGCCGACGGAACGGCGCACAGAGGCTGAAGGGAGTAAGATGCCGTCGTGATCGCAGCCTCGGAGGGCGGATAGCTTTGTGGTCGTGTGCAGGAAGAAATGTGGTTTGTGGAATCTGAATCGGGTTGACGGGTAACTAAAATAAGGTGCCACACGGCCGGTCGAGGGGCGGGTGGTTCAGCAGCCGCAGCAGTGAGCACTGAGCAAGTCGTAGTAGCAGCAGGTGCAGTGCAGGGGGAGATGAGGTCAAGCTGAGCAAATGGAAAGGGACGACCGACCGACGCCGCCGCCAGGGAAGGGTTAGAGGGAAAAAAGTTTCGGAACCTTGCTTTGCTGAAGTAATAGGTAAGGGTGCAACAGCGATGGCGAACAAGCAACGGACACAAGGATTTGCGGTTAAAGTGTAGGTAGGTTGTCTCCGATGAGCTAGGGGGTCGACTTTCCCTTTGTCGTACCACGCGAGAGGCCCTATGCCGAATCTGGATAGGACGGGGGGTTTGAAGGTGCGAGGCGAGAGAATCCGATGGTCGCGGCCAACGTCGGTGTTGGTTGACTGGCGGAGCAAGTAAGGTAATTGGTTTAACGGGTGAGATGATAGGTAGGGAGAGAATTGCTCGGGGTTAGGTGAGCAAGGTAAGATCCTCTCGAAGCCCGGTGTAAGATGAGATGAGGTGGTTGATGGGGGATTGGAGAAGGAGAGAATGCGAATTGGGTGGTTTTTCCGGATTACCTTAGCAGATTGCTCAGGCATCTTTGTCAAGGGAATTGCGGGAAACAGCGACTTTGGTAGGAAGCCCGGAAGCAACTTCCCAAAAGTGTCAACGTCGATCTGCGGGCCGCCTCACTCACAAGTTCACAACCACTTGCAAATGAAGCAGGAACCCATCGGGCAACCTACAACCCAGTAGCTTCCTCACAATAATTACCTTACATAAGGTATAGTAAATGCAACAGATAATAAAGTCCAAGGTGTCATATCTTCAGTTGGATGGCTTCCGTTGTAGCATGATGTAAGCATCCTTCTGGAATCAAGACAAAAGTCCAAAGAGAAATCATTGAGCGGTGACAACTTTCCCCAGACTCTTCCACCCTCCGATCCAACACGGCACCCGGATTCTTTGCAGATAGCAACGAAATGATAACCCTATGCACCCATGCACTTTCAGTTACATCCACGCTGCCAAACACGCTCGCAGAACAGGGAGACGGGCTTGGATGTCATCCCATCCCATCTAAGGATCCCGTCATGGAAACTACGGAGCGGATACAGTGTCCCCATCGGCGCATGCATGTGCCTGACTTTAGTCCCCTTTTCGCCTAGGTGCCATAGCCAAGGTGCACAGGGGTCCAAAGGGCTAAATACCGGTCAACAACTACCCTCAACATGAACTTCGTTCCGGGATACTTTGATTGGAATACCTACTCCGAGGACATCCTCAGACGACTTGCAAAAAAGCCGTAAGGGAGGGGACGACAGAGTCACTGATAGCGGTAACAAGACAAGCTCCGCATATAGTGAGCGGCTATGGTTCTACCCTCCACCTCGCGCTCTCAACCTAGGTAATCTCGAGAGCAGCAACTACCTACCTCAGTTTCTGTGGAAGAGATCGATTCACCTACTAGGTGTTGTGTTGATAGTTGATCGGACCTCTTTTTTACCCTCGCCGATGCACTCCCTCCTTCCAAGAGAACACGCTGGTGAGTATGCAGCAGACATCGTCATTGTCGAGTCAAGACGGCGGTTTGCCAGGGGTTCGCTATTGTTCCATGATTCGTTCAGAGAGTCTAACCATCCATCAGTCTCTGAAGTTCATGCAGTAGTTTTTGGCACTACCAATCCCCGGCGCTCTTCCAATTGGTCTCGTGGTCTCTTTATACAAGTACGGAATACGGAGTGCATGTAATACAGGATATCTTTAGCACAACACCATATCTGATATTCGTCTCCCTGCAATTACTCAAGGGGCGAGCCGGTGGAGTCTTCGCTCTCCCGCCGGAGCCTCCAGAGCCGCGTCTGACCGCATCTCTTAGACTCTTACACAGTAGTTGACATCGGGGCTGACCGAACGCATCTGTCCGTTTGAGCCTCTGAGGGTGTACGAGGTACGGAGTACCTGTCTCCTTCCAGAGACAGCCCAGGGAGAAGGAGCCACCAAACCTAAACCGAGTCACGACTTGCACCACCTTCCGTCTCGCTGCAAGGAACCGTCTACCTGCCCTGCAAGCCGAAAAAAAAGTCGCAACCATTCAGAGACAGTGACTTCCTAGACCTCTCGCCTAACTCCCCTTTCCCCCTTTCCCTGCATTCATCGTCACCGGATTATTAGAAACGAGACATCACCAGATCCCAAACCAGACTCTTCAAGTACCGCACGCGTGTAAATGCCCACGCCTAAGCGCACGCGCAACTGGAGTTCTGTCTACTCGGGAATTATTTGACAGAGTATCATCCCTCCAGCTCGAGTGCTCAATCTACCTTGCTACCCTGCTGCTCCACATTTTCTTTCGCGCAATCCTCCCTCCAGTCTCGACAACTCACCTATGAATACATTTCCCTCCTTCACAAGTCAAGCAAACGAACGATCTTCCGCCCAACACACAGCATGTCTCTCCCCCAGACCACGACAATGAAGCAACCACCGACCCAGTCCTCCATCAAATCCTTCTTCCAACCCCGCCAGCAACCCACCTACGCTCCGCCTCCCCCAGCGTCAAAGTACGCCCCCGCGCCGTCATCGAATGGAACAGCAGCTGCCCCTCCTCCCACGACCAAACCCCCACCATCGTCAACAACAACAGCACCACCACCACCTCCTCCTCCCAAATCCTCAGTGACGACGGCGACAACAACGACAACACCACCGAGAACTTCACCTCCAGCAACGACACCGCAAACATCACAACCGCCAGCCTCGGCGCCCCTCCACCCAAGCGCCTCGATCCGCCCCGTCTCAGACCAAGACCTCCAACCCCTCCGCCGCATAAACTCCCTCCTCCTCCCAGTAGCCTACCCAGAAACCTTTTACGCCGCGGCCTTAACGGGCCCCTTCTCCCGCGTCGTCACCTGGCGCGACCAACCCACCACAAACTTCTCTCAGGAAATCGTCGTCGGCGGCGTCGTCGCCCGCATCGAGCCCTCCCCCTTTCCGTCCGCGACCCCGACCCCGACCCGCCTCGAACACGCCCTCTACATCCAGTCTCTCGCCCTCCTCTCCCCATACCGCTCACATGGCCTGGCCACCGCCGTGGTAGACCATCTCGTCGCCGCGGCCGCAAACTCTTCCCCCGACGTCAACCTCCGCCACATCTACGCCCACGTCTGGACCGACAACGAGGAGGGCATGCGCTGGTACGCCGCCCGCGGCTTCGAGCGATACGGTGAGCCACTGCAGGGGTACTATATCAAGCTCCGACCGGACTCAGCCTGGATCGTCCGCCGCGCCGTCGGTCCTCTTTCCATCGGCGGGCAGCAACAGTCCTTATCCTCTGACAGAGCCACGGCACCACCGCCGATCCCAGGTCCCACCGCCGCCGTCGCGAACCTGCCACCCATGAATGGAAGCAATGGTGCCGGCGGGCCCCCTCCTCCACCGTTGTCGAGGACAATCTCGGGCACATCCTTCCAGAACCGTCGCGCGGCGACAGAGTGGAACGATCTTCCCGACGAAATGGCATCGGCCAAGCTCGCGCCTCCCAAGAGCAGCGGCGGCTCGGGCGCGAGTTCCCGCAGCAGCTCGACAGTGAGGAAGAAGAAGGATAGATCCTACCCGGCTGCCGCTTTCCAGGGTTAGGCGCAAGAGGGGCGTGTGGAATTGAATCTTGCCAAGACAATCAGATGGCGGCAGGATGAAGAATGACAGTCACGTACAAATGGGAGTACTCAGGACACGCAGGATCGGCTTCATCCCAAACCCCGAACTGTCCCGAGCACTGGTTGACTCCATGGCATTCACCATCTAAATCACAAGATGCGAAAGGGGAAAGACACAAAATACTAGAAAAGATTCGCCCCCAAAATTTAGAGGCTAGCCTGCTATAGACGTTTTGAACTTTCGTTTTTAGAGAAAAATTAAAAACAAGACAAATATTTAAACAGGTAATGCGTTTTGAACAAAAACCTTTCCCAACGCAAGCAAGGTTATTCTGTTTTGCTCAGGCCCAACTCCGGTATTTTCCCCCTTTGTGTGTGTGGAATCATGAAGAAAATGATCAAATCCCCAATGCCGAAAACAGAAGATGCTCACACGGATGGGGACGCAGACAAGGAGGAGTAAGAAGAACATCTCCTTCTCTTCTTGTCGGTTGTCCCAAATGACTGGTGGGTTTTGGTTTTCCCACATTTCCTTCCACCCTTTCCCATTCCTCAAAGCCCCCCATTCATTCATCTCTCTTATACTTCGTTCATCATTGACGGTTATACCGAGACCACCAGACGGCCGCAATGGCTGCAACACCAACGATGCCTCCGATGATCAATGCCGTGTTGGTTGTTGACACCTCTTCGCCTATAACGCACGCACAAAATGTGATTAGCCGACAGTCTCGCAATGTATCGCAGCGGGAAGTTCATCACGGTCGAGATCGCCCTTTGTCTCGGCGACTCCAGTGACTAGTAACTTACGTTGTTCAGGGATAGAGTCAAGTTCCCTCTTGACATTCTGTCTGAACTCGGTCAGGACGTCGCCCTCCTTCTCCATGCCAGCTGCCACAAGGGCAATGAGGGCGGCGCCAACTCCACTTCCGTCCTTAGCGATGCCAATGCGGATCTTGTCAGCACCCTTGGGGCCGATGCTCTCAATGGAGCGCAGGGCCTCGTAGATCATGTCTCTGAAGAAGGGGTAGTGCTCAACCAAGCTGCCGTCGACACCAACATCAATGACCTCCTCCGTCTCGTCGTCAAGCTTGCCGGACTGGAGAACAATGGCGCCAATGGCGACAGCTGACAGGCGAGCTGCGCGACGGCCGACGGAGCCGGCGACGGCCTTGAAGGCCTGGGCATCCTCGAGCGAAGGGCTGTACACCAGCATCTCGGACTCCAGCTGCTGTCTCAGGGTTGACAGCTCGGGGGTGTTGTCGGCAGCGGCAACGGACATGATGGAGCTGTCCAGGCCCCACTGCTTGAACATGCCGGACTGAGCACCGATGCTTGTTGTTGACTTCCAGTCGTTGAAGCTAGAGTTCTGGTCCTTAAACAGGGAAAGCTTCTCGTCCTTGAGCATGTCAAGGATGGTCAGACGGACAATCTCGCCCAAGAACATGCCAGAGACACGCTTCTCAAACATCTGGATGCCGGGGTTGACACTGGCCTTGTCCAGAGCATCATCCCAAGGGGTGTTGGGCAATACGTTGAGCTGGTTGTCGAACGAACCCCACTCAGTGTTCACAACCATCTCGCCAGTAGCAGCCTCGAACTCGCCGACAATGGGCTTCTTGATGTTGGACAGCTTCTCGAGGTAGGCGCCGTTGGTGCCAGTGCCGAAAATGGCACCCAAGATGGAGCCGGACTTGCCGGTAGAGGTGTAGGATCTCGCCATCAGGGTTCCGACGGTGTCGTTGACGAGAGCAGCAACGCGGACGGGGAGGTGCAGCTTGTCGATCTCGACCTGCAGCAGAGCACAGACATCCTTGCCGACGGCATCGGGAATGTCGAAGCCCTTGGTCCACCGGATCAGGTTGCCCTTGTTAATGCCAAGCTGCTGAACGGGGAAGCTGAAGGTGAAGCCCAGGCGGAAGACGTGCTCGTCGCGGTAGCCCTCGGGGGCGCTGTAGGTTTGACGGCGGCGAATGTGCTGCTCAAAGTGCTCGGCGTGGTGTTCGCGAAGGAAGAGCTCAATCTGCTTGGCGAGGAAGGAGAAGAGTTCCTCGGCGGTCTTGGCGACCATGAGCTCCTTGGGGATCGCGACCTTGCTGTATGTGAGATTGAAGGTAGTGTCACCGTTGAGCTGGACGGAGCACACGCGGAAGTTGGTGCCGCCGAGGTCGACAGCGAGGTACAGGCCCTGTAACAAGTGTCAGTAAGTGCACTCCCGCAAAGTGGGTTTGCGAATGCAAAGCTTCGTTGCTGCACAATTTACCTTTTCAGTACCATTGGGCACGCCAGTGACGTAGGTCGGGATCTGGCTCATGCTAGATCCATCTTTTTCCAGGCCAGTTTCTGCGAATTGCCAAAAATCAGCTCACTTTTCTCGACTGTTGAGTATTGCCGTGCAAGATTGTTTTTTTTTTTCCGGCGCAAATATTCGGCCGTGACAACGACAGTTCCCGCAGGTGAATACCTGCAGAGAGCGGGAGCGCGAAGGGAGAATGGGCAAACTTACGCATTTGGCCAAGGAATTCGCTGACGGCACGGTTGAGGTATGCATCGGACAGCTCGAACTGGTCGACGACGCGTTTTGTCTCTGCTTCGAGCGCCATTGTGAGAGGTATGGAAATTGGCGGCGTGGTTGGAAAAGGCGCTGGATTTTCGCAGACGGGCTCCTGGAAGATTTGTGCCGAAGGAGAATAGAAGGGAGGAGGCGGGTAGAAGAAGTTGTGAGAGGGGAATGAGTAGGAGCGAAGCTGCAGTTGGAGGTGCGGCGGAAGGAGCTTGGTGTCTCGGAGGAAGAGCTGCGTGAGCTGTTTTGGTACAAATTAGTCCAAGGCAATCTTCGTTGTAAGAGGAAGATGAAGTGATTCTCCAGATAAGAGAGGGAAAAGATATGAGGAGAAAGAGTTTGAACTTGAGAATTCGAACAAGGCAAAGCCAGGTAAGGTAGGAGGGTGAGGAAGGTGTGTGACAATGGGAGAAGAAGGTCAGACAGAGCGAAGGTGAGGAAGTTTTTGGGGGAGCTCTGAGGATGATGTATGTGACGAAATCGCAGTGGAATGGACGGGGGATGGGGTTCAATTGGCATGGGAGCGAACATGGAGCATGGGGAGCAGGTGTGGAGCTGATGGTTGCTGGTCCCATGGAGCAGGGCGACAGGCATGCAAAGTAAGGACCGTAAGGTAGGTACTCGCCAAGGTACCTTGCCAGCACTCAACACCACCAGAAAGCAGTGAGGTAATGTCGTGGTGGGGTGACTGAGGTGGTCCGTCTCGTGCTACAATCCGTAGACACGATTTTCCTCCAGCTCCAAGCCTCCAAGACTCTTGTCTTCCACCTTGGGTAACACAAGTCCAACGACATTTTGGCAATTGGCCATCACGACAGAGGTCGCCCAGAATAGCGAAGCCGAGGCCAAGGATACGGAACAGGGACGATGACCAAGACCCTGCCACTGGAGTCGTCGTTGACTAACTCTCAGTTGATGATGCCCCAGGTCTGCATGTGGGATGCAAATGCCATTGGGTCACATCCAGGCCTTCAAGTTCTGCAAGTCTCGAGACCTTTTTTGTTCTCCCTTTCCAGATGTTGGGCCGGACGGAGGACCAAGCTGCGCGACGAGAATAGGGTCTTCTGCAGCACGACCCAGCATGGTGAATGGACGGCTACAGCTGCGTGATGTGAGGCGAGATGCGTCGCCGCGGAAAGCTGGAACTGGAACTGGAACCTGATCCTTGGAACCAGCTCTGCCCTTGAGGGGCGTCGACTAGGTACTGCGGGGAATCGTGCGCCCGTGTGTATCCGTACAAAGTAGGTCCAGTAGCGTAATTCAGCGAGAGAGGCCACCCAAGTTGCCCATAGTTTGGCATGACGACGAGGTACGAAGGCGGCGGCAGAGTCCGGTCAAGTGCTCCGTTCCTTGGCCTTGGCCCATGGCCCTGCTGGCAAAAGCTCGGGAGCCGAAAGCAGCTCTGGCCGCTTGCCATTGGATCGTGGCTTCAACTTCGGCCCCGCCGTTGGCCCCAATTGGGTTCCGGCGAGGTCCCGATCATCGATTGCCTCTCATCTCTCATGTCGCTCGCTCGATTTTCTCGCCCGTTTCTCCCTCACCGAGTTCCCTGCCCACTGCTATTCGTTCTGGCCTGGTCTGCTGCAGCTGTGCGAAACATCAAGGCAGGTAAGGTAGCCAACCGCTTGACCATCCATGGTGAAGATTCACTCAATGAGAGTCTCCGGCGCTTCTCCCGGCTCAAGTCGTCTGCATGCTGCCACCCCATGTCTCCTGCTCCCCAACAAGCAGATTCCCCAAAACCTGGGCCCCCGTGGAAGTCCGCATATGCCCCAGGGGAAAATTCCCCCCAAGTTTGGGACATGGGATAAGGTACTCGGACAACAACCATATCCATACCCAAGGCACCCAGGCGGCCAGGCCACCACGCGCGAGACTGACGCTGGCGGCGGCTCACCACCCACTGCACTCGCAGGGCTCTGAGTCTCTGACAGGCGACACTATCACCCCCCGTCCCATGGTGGCCCACTTCTACGCCGAAGAAGCTCCCGTTTCCATCCACAATTGTCCACACCCGGGCGGGCCACCGAACATGCCGGAAGTGGGGAGACTTTGATCAAACACAAGACGAAAAATTGAACCCACGGAAAATGAGCGCATGCAACTACACCACGCCGTCGCCCGGTAGAAAACAAGGGGGTCGGGGACGTTGAGTCTTTTGAGAGACTATGTGTGAGTTCAGGGCAATGGTTTGGGATATGGGGATCCATGGTCAGGTAGTGTGAAGTGTGTGGTAGGTTTGTCTGATGGGAAACGACGGATACAACGAAGGAGAATCTGCACTGCTGCAGAGGTACTTACTAGGACGAGTGCTAAAAACACCACCGAGCAAAGGCCGTACCAAAATGAGGAGACCCCATGGGAGACCAGGAAGCTGCTCCTCCTTCTCCGGTGTCTTGGTCCGTGGCCCTTGACGTGACCGTCGCTTTTGTTTGTCTCGTTGTCGATAGTTTCGACGTTGCCGCCATTGATACTGCCAGCTTGCCTCAACGCCACCCCGTACTTGCTCATACTCTGCGTATCGTCGTCAAATGCCTCGTCTGATGCAGCTATATTCGATAAGTCTTTCTGGTTGGTAATATCACCTCCCCCAGTCGTTGACCTTGACTGCTGTTGCTGGTCTTGGAGGTTTTGATAATCGACACCAAGAGCACCCGCGCGCCAATCGGCGCCTCCACCCCGGACGTAGGCCGACAGTGTGCCGGTGATTGACAGCTTGAAAACGCTCGGATTCTCGCTGCGGGCGCGTTGCTGCACCTCACTGCGAAAACACCAGCGTTTTGCTGAGATAAAGTACCAATTTGAGCGCTCCTATACGGGAGTCCCAGACTGAAGTGAGGTAGCCCGGGACGGGATCTAGCTCCGGTGAAGCGACCGGATTGACCTTGGTGCGTGCAAGTGCAACCTGCGAGACGCAGCGCAGTAATGGTGTGCGGCGTTTGGGTTACGGAATAACAGCGGCGAGCCGCGACAGGTGGTGCCAGTGGTGACCTTTGGCGCCGAATTTCTCCCTCTCGGCCCTTTGGAGGAGACAGAACACGTTTAAACGGCCCGTCTGTAATTAGTTTCCCGGGTGTGACGCTGCGGATAGACGAAGGAGACCCAGGCCTGGCGCCCCAATGAGGTCATATATGGGGATCCCGGGTGTACCTAAACTGGACTCTCGCAAAAGGTGGGAAGACCTCTGCAGGGTTTGCGCCAAATTCTGATGTCCTCGTGTGTCGTTTTGTCGTGGATTCGTGGGTTGCGCCAGGCGGCGGGGGGGCTAGTGGGGAATAAAATCAAAAGATGATAATTGTGGAATTATGAGATGAAGAAGAGAACTCCGTACTGGAGAAAAGGAAAAAGGCGGAGAGGGCAAGAATCTAGAGTCCTTTGTGGCCTCGAAAGTAAATCGTAAACGCTTTGTCTCGTTCAATTGCTCGTGATAGTCGTGCGCTCGTCACGTCAGACCGATGATCAGGGTCCCTCGGTTCTAGGCTGCTGGGTCCTGGATGCTGGGTCTGGGTTCCCGGATCTTTGGGGGTCTCAAATCTGAGTCGGTCGGGAGATTCCCTGGTGCGTCTTGGTGGTGTTCGATTCAGAGCGTTGGTGGCTTGACTTGATATTAATAAACTGGGCTCCTCGGCTTGCGGGTGCCTCTTCTTTAGCATTCCGTGTGCCAAAACGAATGTCGCTCGGTCTGTCTTCTTTTTCTGCTGTTGCTTCCCCAGCTAGTGCCTGCAGTCGTATGTCATGCGACCGCAACGAATTGGCTTTCCTGGCTGGTCCTGTTCGAAGGAAGTCGGCAGAGACGCCGTAGCGTGAGGTGACGCAGTTGCTCCAGATGCAGTGGTCTAGCCCTCTTACAGATCGGGGGGCACGTCAAAGTGCAGAACCAATCTTGATAACGAGGCGTCCAAAGATGCTTCTACAGTTATGGCCAGAGCTTCCCGGTTTTCGTCTTGGCAATGATGATGGTAGCAGCCGTCCGCCGTGGTGGTGGTGCGGATAGCGTGTAATTCTGATCAGAGTGTGAAGATCGAACGCTACTCTGATTTGCTAGCGTAGACTGTCGCACAATGGGCGGTCGCCGTCGGACTACTTATGGTTGACGTGGAACAAACTGAAGGCGAGATAGGACGGCCGCTTCTTCAAAAATTGGTGGTTTCAGGAGGAAACAAAACAGTCGAGCGAAGAGGCGACAGGTCAAGTTCAGGTCAAGGCAAGACGAGACGAGAAGGTAAAGAGCAAAGAGGAGGTTGGCGCGCAAGTCGATCCGTCTTCCCTTGGTCCCCTCCTCTCTGTTTCTGTCTCTCTTCCCTCGTCTCTCTTTCTCGTCAGCCGAGGCGGGTTCTCCTTCTCGAGCGCTTCTGTCGCATAAGAAACACTCCTGGGATTGGATTGGAGGAGGGGGTGCGCCGGATTTGAGATTTGGGTTGACCACTCAGATCGCTATCGAACCGTTGCAGGGTCCCGCCCAACTGTGCGGTGTGAGCTGCAGGGCCAGGGTGCTTGCTAAAGTAGACTCTGGATCGTTGGAGAGGAGAGGATCTTTCAGTGGCCTTGCTGTGAATGAGAGCCGGTTACGGAAGGGGAAGATAGATGGCGCTTGGCCGCCTTGAGATTGGCCAGTGCCGACAACCTGACTTCTTGGACAACAGGAGGTTGAAAAGAGGGAAAAGGCTGGGAAACACGGAAGGCCAGAAACAAAGCACACGATGTGCCTTGGACCGTGGGCGAAGTTACGAACCTTCCATACACTTGAGTATTTGGGAGTATGGTAGGAACGGCTCTCCCAAAAAAGGAAGGAAGTTGGGGAGCTGATGAAACGGAACCCCCAGCGTGACCACCAGGCCCCTGCCTCCAACTGGCAACAACGATGGGAGCACGGAAGGTATTTCCCCCACGACGTCGCTCCCCAGCATTTGGGTGGCGGCTGCCACAAAATACCCGGCACTCAATATCATCTCCAGCTGGGGGAGCCTCGTACACGAGCGACATGACAGGACACTTGGTCTTTTTCTTTTGTTAACTTCCAGAAATTTCCATTCCACTAGGTATGTGCCATGCCGTATGTAGCAGTAATCCCATCCACGTATCATCAACTTTCCTCAATGGTGTTCTCTACCCACTGGACCATCGATACCATTGATATGGTAATGCTTCTTTGCTTGCCAAACTCCCCACTCCATTCCTTTCACTCAACCTCACTTCGTTCGGAGATAGACACTGTGCCACTGATCCTCGTTCATCTATAATTAGCCCTGGGCAAAGTTCCTCTTGACAATGAAAAAGGACATCATAAGAAGAGCAGCGCAAGTCATAAAGACGGCGTTTCGATGTCCATCTCCTGTTTCTTCGTTAGCAACGATTCCGATACTTGGACTTATCTTAGGAACTTACCCTCTTCATCCAAGCTATGCGCCACGACAACAAACACGTTGAGAGGTAGCCTCAGCAGACTGTACACGCGACCACGCACCCCGTCCTCGACAACCTGACTCTTCAGGAAGGACATGCTTGGGAAGTAGGCTCCAATGCTGGCCTCAACCATGCACAGCGCCCAAAACAACAGTTTCTCATTGTCCAGCACGACTGCTCCGGACAGACAGCAGCTCACCACTAGCACGACCAGCATAAGGATAAGCGATGTCGTCTCCTTGGAGTGTGTTTTTGTGTAGAGCGAGAAGAAGGAAGATCCAGCCATCATAGCGCACATGAAGCTGGAGAAGATGAGCCCGAAAGGCAGTTCCTCGTCTGAGCCAGCCTTGGTTCGCGCGCTCTTCAGCGCAGCAGACCAGAAGAACACAAAGAGGTACATGGCTCCCTCGAAGAAGGTCGACGTCAGGCCTAATGACAGGATTCGCATATCGGCCAGAATCATCTGGATGCCGCTCTTGACCTCGGCGAGTGATGTTGTTGCCGGGCCATGCTGCTTTGTTCCGTAGTTCTCGCTCCACCCCTTCAAGATCAACCACATGGCCGCCCCGGAGCAGACCACACTTGCCATGAAAGGCCAGACGCGGCCACCCAGCGAGTTGACCAAGATGTCACCAACGACGCCAGACAGGATTGCAACGATGGAGCTGATGGTGGTCATGTTGCCAAAGATGGAGCCTAGTTTAAGGTTCGTCCGCGAAAGACCACGCTGGTTGTATTCCGTAATCAGCCAGGCCTCGAACACACTGTACAGAAGTGTCGTCGAAACACCGCCGGCGAATCGGCCGAGAAATAGGATGAAGAGGTTGTCGGTAAGCATCGTCAGGCAGGTGAGGATGTAGGTAGCGCAGTACGTAAGGCAGGCAAGGCGGCGGCCGTATCGATCTGCCAGCTCGCCGGCAAAGGACGCGGAAATGGCGCCAGACACGAAGCCTGCAGCGTAAAGAGCAGCCACGACCCTCTCGGGGATGTTCTTCTCGTATCTGTAGATGGCATAGATATGGGGGCCCTGTCCCTATGTTAGTCTGATTGATTCCATGATAGTAGTCGCACGGCGCATTACCTGGAGCCAATCCGCTGCCATTGCCAGGGCGTAGACCGGGAAGAAGTCCAGCTGGAATTGGCGGACTGCATTTTGAGATTCGACGGGCGAAGAGAGCAGTTGCTGATGCTCGACATCTCCTCCGTCGGAACCCTCCTCCGAGTCGGCAGCCTCCTGCTTCAGCTCCTCGATGACTTCTTGTTCCTGGCGCTTGTACTGCTGGTAGAGCAGATACCCGTTGCCCGCCGCAAAAACGGCCAGGTTTATCTGGTAGAAAGCCATTTTGCCGCAAGTGTGACTTTCCAAGTTGTGTAGAAAGGTAAAGTCTTGTTTGTAGAGCTTGTGGGA